GGCTAGATCTAGCTTCTAACATGGTATGAGATAAGCAAGAGTAGTTTTACGTTCTCATGTATGCTTTCTTGTTACCCTACTTCCATCCATTTAGCAGTAACCTACCTATTTGCCTGCTAACAACACTAGACTCGCTGCTTAACCGTTGGTAGGTTTGGCATTAACAGTAAAGCCATTCATATGACATTTCTTATGTTCATTAACAATTTACTGTTTATTTTATATTTAATTGCCGCTTTTGGGGCAACTACGCCCTTTCTGTGTTCTCTGACTCCTTTCTTACGTGTTTGAAGTTCCCATCTTGTTCCCGCGTAAACTGACATTCTCTCGCTGCTTGTGAGCTAAGATATTTTGGTTTCAAGTGTACAATCTATACTTTTCTAATCCTCTCCCATTATAGAACCGTGTATCTTGTCTAACCACAGTTCTTGGTTCTGATTTCAAGTACAAAAGGCACGAATTAAACTACTCCAAGGCAGCTAGATCGACAGAATTCCAGTAGAATACTCCGAATAGATCATTAATTGGTGCTCGACTACTCTCTACAGCGACCATGGATAACAGCCGGTAGTTTGGTAGGCCGGGTACAAGGCTGTTTGTGTGACATTTTTCGACATGCAACACGGGGCCAGTTAAGTTCAACAAGGCGACCTTAACATTTAAAGTCAGATAGACCTCTTTCTGCACTCCACATTTGAGCTGCTGAAGTTGCCAACACACAGGCCCTTAGTCAAAAAAACTCTAGCCCAAATCATAAATTGTATCAGCCGCAGTGGCCAAGTTGATCCTAACTACAGTAGTCACCGGCTATTAAGCCCACGGTTAATAAGCCCGCCGCTTATTAAGCCCAATTTGGTCTGGGCCCGAGGTGGGCTTAATGGCCGGCGACTACTGCAATAGCTTTTTGCATCTTTGTCAGTGTTGAGTGCTCAACGCCTAACAACAAGTAGCTGCCTCGCATGAAGTGTAATAGACGACTTATCTGCAGAAGACCATTGACGACAAAGACAATGGAGACTGGAATGCTCAGCTCTGGCTTATTAGCCGTCATCAGCTAGTCATAGCCAACCACAGGTGGTGTACCATCTGAATTTTGTGACATCTGTGGATACTGCCTATGATACCAGCCGCTGGGTGGCTGCTGGTGGGACTCGAGTGTGAGCTCCAAGGCAGAACTGGTGGAGTGAGTCCAAGGGCTCGTTGTCTTGCTGGTGTTGATCGGTAACATTAACAATCGTAGATGGGCGCCTGCCTAGCGGTTACGAAATTCATTCGTCTAGCTGAGCCTTGGGGCTCGATCCTGAGCCCCGCCAGCAGCCGCTGGTAACGTATTTCTGCCTATAATAGGCCAAGCCGTTGAGCGGCTGATGGTGGGGCTCTCAAGGCATAGCGGGACGAGTGAGTTGCGCACCGATGGTTGAGCGCCCATCAATCAGAATAAAGAAGTATTTGCAGACAGCTTAGGAACAGCCAATCTACCTATTTAGCAAAGTCCATTGAAAGCGTATGCAAGGACAGCGGGCGTAGAGTCGCTTCGAAATCTAAATGTCCAATGCAGACCCATGACTATACCTACCTGGTCGAGTGTCTGTTCGCGGTAGATTTGGGCACATAGGCGACCGAATGCCTCCACTTCGTGCGCTTTCTTGGCATTCATACCATGGTTTATAAATGAAGCGGAGTGAAGCGTAGAGGCCACGGGGAGAATGTTGGACTTTGGCGCAGCGTCGGCGGGAGCCTGGGAGAGTTAGACAGATAGCGAAGAATAATCCCCAATGAAAGGACCAATAACCGACGGAAGGGAGAGGATAAATCAGAAAAGGAATAAGAAAACAATGGTGATAGTGACGACCATGATGATGATGATGATGATGATGATGATGATGATGATGATGATGATGATGCCACTTCTCATTCCGGCAAATAGAAGGCTGGTTCGCTGGGAGTATATATCAGATAAAGAAGTCTAGAATCTCGCTCGGAGGTTGCGAAGGAGGCCGGTGCTACTTCCTCGAAACTAAAATTTTCTTATCAACTTTCATGTTTTAGGCGAAAATTCGAGTTTGTTCACTGATTTCCAGCAAAAGGACAATTATCGCCCCGAAAATGGAAGCTGCATGGCGTGGTGAACGCTACGGAATGTTTAGCCAGCCGAACCCATCGCAGCCACAAAACGCTGCTAACACAGTAAAGCAGCCCTCCGAGTACAGTATAGTTAGCGTTAATAGGCGTTGCTTTAGAAGACCTTATTAAAATGGTATAATATTACACTTAAAATAAACATATTACTGCAAAGTTGAAGGTAACGTATTAGTTTCGAATGAAATCTATATTTGAAAGCGGGGAGTCTGTACGGCGTTGGGTGAATACCGGCCTAAATAATAAACTCCGTTAGTACTCACTAAAGTCATTTAACGACCTTTTGGCAATCCATCGGCACTTTAACTCGTCATGCACACCAACAAACCCTGTAAGCCTGCCGAAAGCTACACAAAAGTTGGAGTGATAAAATAGGCGACACATCCTATGAAACATTCTGAAATATGACCTCCATTAGAAAGGGTCACTTGGGTAAGATTGTGATATCATGTAGTATAATCCCCAGATATTTTAGTCAGACTAAGGTGCCGGCGTTTGAAGGAGTATTTTTCCGGCCGTCTGCAAAACTCACTTTCACTGAAGAATGTATGCATTTTCCCATTGACTTTCGCTGAACTTACAAATCCGAACGATAGGAGTGCCTAAAGTAGACGCCTACTTGCATCCACTAAGCCCGATTTACACCTTTTTTCAGTAGCTTGATTAACACCTTTGTAGTTCGTTTGTCGCGCGCATGTGGCTTCCCCACAAAGCTTTCCTGACGGCTGCAGCAGCCTGAGAAACACTGACAAACACAAAAGTAAGATTCTATTTGAAGTCATTTAACGGTACCAAAAAATAGTAATGTCTAACTTTAAGACGTAAGATAACTTATATTAGAGTAATAAACTCGAGGATGTACTTCAATACAAAATAAGTAAAAGGTAGGATATTGTTGTGTATGTTTTCTATAAAAATACACTCGATGTATAAAGCAACAAAAATTAAGGAGTGCTTCCATAATACTGAAGTAGTAATGTTGTTTTAGCGACGGTCAGGGGGTGCGCGCTCAAGAGCTGCTATCCTGACGGGACTGAAATATTTTGGAATTAAGTTGAATGGAAATCAGCCCAACTAAGATCACATTTCAAAATCTCCGTTAATATTTTTCATGATTCACGATATCTAATGTAACTTGAATGCTGTTGGCTGGATGCTGCAGCTCTTCCAAACGAAATGTGAACTCCGACGCCTAATAATCAATGGCCCGTGCATCGGGGTTAGTGTACAAACAGTGACCCCTAAACAGGCTACGTGACAGATACGCTAGACCAACACGGGGGCAGATCAGAGGACGGCCA